GGGGGAGGGGAGATTTTGAAACTTGTGAAATCCACATTGATACCATTGGGCTGCAGGGTTCCCAAGCGGAATATGAGTTGCTGTTCCTGCAACCTTCGGGTGGCATCGTTGTGGCACTGCAGGAGGCCCAGGATGGACATGTCGTCTGAGGAATGGGAGGGGGAGTTGAAATGGTTCGCGACTGGGAGGTGCAGTTGTTTGTTGCGAACCGAGCGTAGGTGTTCTGCAAAGCGGTCCCCGAGTCTCCGCTTGGTTTCCCCGATGTAGAGGAAGCCACACCGGGTACAGCGGATGCAGTATACCACATTGGCAGATGTGCAGGTGAACATCTGCTTGATGTGGAAAGTCTTCTTGGGGCCTGGGATGGGGGTGAGGGAGGAGGTATGGGGGCAGGTGTAGCACTTCCTGCGGTTGCAGGGAAAAGTGCTGGGTGTGGTGGAGCTGGAGGGGAGTGTGGAGTGGACAAGGGAGTCACGGAGAGAGTGGTCCCTCCGGAAAGCAGATAAGGGTGGGGAGGGAAAGATGTCTTTGGTGGTGGGGTCGGATTGCAGATGGCGGAAGTGTCGGAGGATGATGCGTTGGATCCGGAGGTTGGTGGGGTGGTACGTGAGGACGAGGGGGATTCTTTTTTGGTTGTTATTATGTGGACGGGCTGTGAGGGATGAGTTGCGGGAGATGTGGGAGACACGGTTGAGGGTGTTCTCGACCACTGAGGGGGGAAGTTACGGTCCTGGAAAAACAAGGACAACTGAGATGTACGGGAGTGGAATGCCTCATCCTGGGAGCAGATGCAGCGGAGGCGAAGGAACTGGGAATAGGGGATAGCATTTTTGCAGGAAGGTGGGTGGGAGGAGGAGTATTCTAGGTAGCTGTGGGAGTCGGTGGGCTTGAAATGAATATCGGTTTCTAGGTGGTTGCCCGATATGGAGACAGAGAGGTCCAGGAAGGGGAGAGAGGTGTTAGAGATGGTCCAGGTAAACTTAAGGTTGGGGTGGAAGGTGTTAATGAAGTGGATGAACTGTTCGAGCTCCTCGTGGGAGCACGAGGCGGCGCCGATACAGTCATCAATGTAACGGAGGAAGAGGTGGGGTTTAGGGCCGGTGTAGGTACGGAAGAGGGATTGTTCCACGTAACCTACAAAGAGGCAGGCGTAGCTTGGGCCCATGCGGGTACCCATGGTTACCCCCTTTGTCTGTAGGAAGTGGGAGGAATTGAAAGAGAAGTTGTTGAGGGTGAGGACGAGTTCGGCTAAGTGGATGAGGGTGTCAGTGGAGTGGGACTGGTCGGGCCTGCGGGACAGGAAGAAGCAGAGGGCCTTCAGGCCACCTGCATGGGGAATGCAGGTGTAGAGGGACTGGACGTCCATGGTAAAGATGAGGTGTTGGGGACCGGGGAATTGGAAGTTCTGGAGGAGGTGGAGGGCGTGGGTGGTGTCACGGACATAGGTAGGGAGTTCCTGGACCAAGGGGGAGAAAATGGAGTCCAGATAGTTGGAGATCAGTTCAGTGGGGCAGGAGTAGGCGGAGACAATGGGTCGACCAGGGCATTCAGGTTTGTGGATTTTGGGAAGGAGATAGAAGCGGGCAGTGCGAGGTTGGGGAACGATGAGGTTGGAGGCCGTGGGTGGGAGGTCACCTGAGGTGATGAGCTTGTGGATGGTTTGGGAGATGCTGGTTTGGTGCTCAGGGGTGGGGTCATGATCAAGGGTGCGGTAGGAGGAGGTGTCGGAGAGTTGGCGTCTGGCCTCGGCTATGTAGAGGTCAGTGCGCCATACTACAACTGCACCTCCCTTGTCCGCGGGTTTTATGGTGAGGTTGGGATTGGAGCGGAGGGAGCGGAGGGCTGCACGTTCTGCGGGGGAGAGGGTGCTCATCCCTGATATTTTGTCATCGTTGGTGGTAACATTCTTTATCCTTCCATCAAATTCCTGGTCTTCTCCTAAGAAAGTGAATGCTTGTTCACTTGGACTCTCTCCCTGTCTAATTCACTTCCCACCTACCCCTATTCAAATACTTCCTCTGGCTCTCTTCATACATCAACCCTCACATCCCAGGAATCAGTCTGGTAAATTCTTGTTGCAATCTCTGCAAAGCCAGAACATCCTTCCTCAGAAAAGAACACCAAGAAGGAGTGGAAGAACAGCATCACCTTGACTAAGCTGTGGATGGTTAAAAGTTGCTAACTCCAACCGACATTGGAACAAGACTAGAGCCACAGTCTGTACTTGGAAGGCTGGAGAAAACTTTCCATGAATCTGGTGGTGGGATGATGGGGTGGGGGTGAAAATGAAAGAATATTTGTTGAGGGTTTTTGGGTAAATAAATAAGTTTGGTTAGTATGATTGAAAATTTAAATATTAATGTATTTTTTCCTTAAACTATTAATTGTGAACTATGTACTTAAAGCATAATGCATTATTTATAATACCCTCATGTCTGGTTTCTTATTCAGCTATGAGCTTTTCAGGCGATTGCAATTTTTTTCAAGCTTTTGATCAAACTAGCTTTGATATGCGTGGCCACCTACTGAGAAAAAAACGCTCTGCCCTCAAATGTCGTCAGATAAATACAATTCCGTTGCGCAAAGAAAGCAAACGCCTGTATCATCTATAATTTTGAAATTGTAGGTTACAGCTTGTTTACATACCCTGGGCTGGACTTCTGTCAGACAGTCCGCAACTCTCCCAGTAATAGGAACCAATTTGCCCGCCTGCAAAAGAAACATACTTTGCCACTCGTCTCTGATCAATTTCATCACTGCATGTACTATTCGCGCGTCGGTTTCATTGCTAATTTCTGGCGTATCAATGAAATAAAGACGTACGTTTTGGGGGAATAATTCCGGAAATAATGCGAAAGGTATACTTTACCATAATTGACAAAGACAATGAGCAGAAATTAGGAAGGAGAAAGAAACTATACGGAACGTACTGTGTCCAGCGCTGGATCAGTGTCGGTGAATTTCCCTGCATATACCGGTTTTAAAGGTTGGACGACGCCCGACATCTCTCCTGAACTTTATGGTGACCGCTTATACTTCGGAAATGTTTGGTTTCAGAGATCATGCGGCGCCCTCCCCACTCGCCTGCAGGATCTGTGCTTCCTCCTCTGGAATGTTGATTCTTTTGCTGTCGCCGAGCAACCATCCGGACGTGAGCACTGGGCCGCCGGTCAGTGGCTCAAAGATAGGGGGCGCCACAGAGCCAGGTGTTGGCGCCCCATCTACACCACACACTTCCCGTCAAATACTTGGACTTGCAAAATGTTTCAATAAACATTGCAACGTTTTCCTGCAACGTGCGCTCTTTTCTTTTAATCCTTGACAAATTATTTTCCTCTCTTTGTGTGGGAAATGCCATAATTTGTGCCGAGAATGGTAGTCCTAAATTTCTTAGTTGCTAGCAGGAGCACATTTGTTGCACATCTGAATAGACTTAACAGTGGCCGCATTGTCAATATCAGCCGACAATTCTGAATCTCAGACTTTGTACAAGAAAACAACTTGCGACTTCACACCATTAGAACAGCAACACTCTTTTCCACGTCCTTAACTGTGCGGCTTCATAGAGTTTTACAGCATTTAAAGAAGCCATTCAGACCATCGGGTCCATACCGGTCATGTATCTACTCTAGTCTCATTTTCCAGTACTTGGTCCATAAGTATGCTATAGCGTTTGATGTGTTTATGTAAATAATTCTTAAATGTTATGAGGGTTCCTGCTTCTTCCGCCCTCTGGGTAAAATTAACTTCCTTCAATCTCCCGTAAACCTTCTGAGCCTTACCTTAAAGCTGTAGCTCTTGGTTATTGCCCCCTCTGCCTGAGGAAAAATATTCTTCCTATCTATTCTATCTGAATCTCTAATCATTTTCTATCCCACAATCAGGGGAATACCCCCTCTGTCTTCCCTACTCTCAACCCCAGCCTATGAGAAACAAAAACAGTAATCGCAGGAAAGATGCAGCAGGTCTGGCAGCATCTGTGGAGAGAATGCAGGGTTAATGTTTCGGGTCCAGTGACCCAGAAAAACAGTTTCTACAGCACTTTCTGTTTTATGTTTCAGATTTCCAGCATCCACAATTCTTTTGTTTTTTTTGCCTAACCTATCTAGTCTAATTTCATAGCTTAAACATTCCAGCCCGGCCCTATCCTGATGAATCTACTCTACTAGTTACATCCTTGAAACATTTCAGCAGATTTGTCAAATATGATTTCCCATTTGTAAATCCATGCTGACTCCATTCAATCCTGTTATTGCATTCCAAGCACTCTACTATTAATTTTTTTATACAATAAACTCTAGCCATTTCCCCATTACCAATGTCAGGTTAACCAGCCTATAATTCTTGGTTTTCTCTATACCACCTCTTTTAAATAGTGAGGTTAGATTAGCAATCTGCCAATCTATAGAATTCGTTCCAGACTCCAAAGAATCTTGAAAGACAATCACCAATGCATCCACTATTTCTGGGCTATAGATTATCAGTTCGTGGGAAATTATTGGCATTTAATCTCAGCAATTTCCACCAACACAATTTCTCCACTAATTCTGATTTCCTTCAGATCCTCCCTCTCACTAGACCCTGTTTTCCATAATATTTGTCCTCCTTTATGAAGATCAAAGTATGTATTTAATTCCCTGTTTCTAACTGTAAGTGACCTACATTTGTCTACACTCATCTTTTTCTCTTTACATACCTTTATCCTGATTAATGCTGATCTGATTATAACCTCCATATTCCAACTTTACCCTAATAATCTCTCACTCCCTTAGAAATATTCAAGGAATTTGCTTCCACCATTCTGCCAGGGAAAGAGTTCCAAAAACTCAAAATCCTCAGAGAAGTCTATTCTCTGTCTTAAAAGGGAGACCCCGATTTTTAAGCATGACCAATCGTTCCAGATTCTCCCATAAGAGGAAACATCTCTCTACATCCACCCTGAAAATCTCTCAGGATTTTATATGTTTCAATTAAGTTGATTCTTACAATTCTAAATCCCAGTGGATATAAGCCTAGGCTTTCTATCCTTTCCTCATTAGACAAGCCACTCATTCCAGGTATTAGTCAAGTAATGCTTTTACATTTTTCCCTAAGTAACGTGAACAATATTGTGCACATTACTCCAAACATGAACTCCCAAGTGCTCTGTATAGCTGAAGAATAACCTTCCTACTTTTGTACTCAATTCCCCTTGGGATATATGATAACATTCAATTAACTTTCCTAGTTACTTATGTGCCTACATACTAACCTTTCTTGATTCATGCATGAGGACACTGAGATCTCTCTGCATCTCAGACCTCCGCAATCACCATTTAGATAATATGCTCTTTTTTAAATTCTTTCTCCCAAAATTTCATTTTCCCACATTATGCCCCAACTTGCTACATCTTTGTTACCTCATGTAACACACATATATATTTTTGTAACCTCCTTGAGTCCTTTCGCCAATATCCTATCTCTCTTTGTGTCATCAGCAACTTGGCATTCAGTTTCTGTCCCTTCATCCAAGTCATTTATATAAGTTGAAAACATTTCAAAACCCAGCATGGACTCCTGTGGCACACCATTCATTACATTTACACCTTCTCTGCTTCTTGTTAGCCAACTAATCTTCTAATCCATGTCAATGTAGTACCCCGCTATCCCATGAGCATTTACTTTCTGCAATAACCTTTGACATGGCACTTTATTCCATGCCTTCTGGAAATCTAAGTACAGTGCATCCACAGCTGCCCTTTTATCCACAGCATGTGGATCTTCCTCAAAGATCTTCAACAGATTGGTAAAACAAGACTTCACTTTCACTAAACTATGTTGATTCTGCCTGATTCACTTGAATTTATCTGAATGCTCTGCTATAACTTCTTTAATAATAGCTTCTTAAAATCTTCCCCATGCCAGATGTTAAGTTTCCGGGTTTCTGTGCTCCTCCCTATTTGAATAAAGAACCCATATTTGCTATCTTCCAATTTAGTGGGACTAGCCCAAATCAAGGGAGTTTGGAAAATTAAAACCAATGTGGCAACTATTTCAGAGCCACTTCTTTTAAGACACCAGGATGAATTCCATCTTGTTAGCCTGTAGTTCCAACAATTTACTCAGTATTACCTCCCTGGTGATTGTGATTTTCTTGAGTTCCTCCCTCAATTCCATTTTCTGATTTATTGCTGCTTCTGGGATCTGACTTGTATCCTCTATAGAGAAAGTTGGTGCAAAATATCCATTCTTCTGTTATTTCTTTATTTTCCATTATTAATTCTCCGATCTTATTCTCTATAGTATCAATGATTACTTTGTTAACTCTTTCCTTCTTTAAATATTTGTAGAAACTGTTACTACCTATATTTTGTTTCTGGCTAGCTTTCTGTTGTGTTATGATTTTTCTTTCATTATTAGTTTTTTTGATCATTTTTAAATATTCTATCCAATCTTTTGATCTATCTTTGCTTTCAATTTTAATTTCAAGTAGTCTTTGACATTTTTAGTTCACCACAACTGGTGGGTCTATCTTGTGGAATTTTGTTTTATTCATTGGAATGAATGTATTCTCTGAATTTTGAAATATCTCCTTACAGCTTTTGACATGTTTTAATCTAAGTTTCCAATTCACTTCAGCCAGCTCTGCTTTCATGCTGTCATAACTGTCCTAATTAAAAATGTAAAAATTAGCCTTGGGGGAGAGGTCCCACCTCACTCTCTCTCTCTCAAACTGAATGCAACATTCAACCATATTATGGTCACTGCTACCTATGGGCACCTTTACTATGAGATTGCTAATTAATGCTATCTCATTGCATAGTACCAAGTTTAACACAGCCTGCTCTCTGGTTGGCTTCAGAATGTCCTGTTCCAAGAAACTACCCTGGAAATGTTAAATGAACTCCTAATTTAGGCTTTCTTTGCCCACCTAATTTTTCCAGTTATTAAGCAAATTAAAATCTCCCACTGCTGTGCCTTTCTGATAACCTCTAAGTATTTCTTCTTTCAGGCCCACCCCAATCATGTGGTTACTCTTACAGAGCCTATACACCACGCCCACACAGGATTTCGCGCCTTTATAATTTATCATTTCTACGTTAACTGTTTGCACATTTTGGCTTCTTGAACTTAGATCATCCCTCTCTATTGAGCTAATTCTATGATTAACTAACAAAGCCTCCACCTTTTCTTACTTTCTTGCCATTCTTACTTGGGCTGTGCCCTTCATGATTCAGGTCCAATATATATTATCCTGCGGCAATGTCTCTGTAATGGTTATCAGATCATACTTATTCATTTCTATTTGCACTCTCAGTTCATCCACTTTGTTTTGAAATTTGTATGCATTCAGATACAGAAACTTTAGTTTTATCATTTTACTGCCCTTATAAAATCTGGTAGCATGTGTTGGTGACACTTAGCTTCATAGCCTCCATCCTTTCTTGTCAGGATGTGTTTATCATTTCCCATATTAATACCTTTCTCTTTGGTTTTGACTCTGCTGTTTGATTTAACACATCTTCCCAACTGTGATCTCTTGCACCCCTACAACTCAATTTAAAGTCCTCACTATTTTCCTAGTTAGACAATCAGCAAGAACACCAACCCCAGCACAATTCAGGTGAAGACCACCCCAAGGATTCAGATGCACTTTTCCCAGTACTGAAAGTCAATTCTCCCACAGCAGTGTTTGCACCATGAATTCATCTCTCAAAGCTCATTTGTCCATTGCATATAGTTTAGTAATGCAGAGATTATGACCATTGAGATTTTCCTTCTTAATGTAGCCCCTTGTTCCTCATGCTGACTTTGCAAAACCTCCTTCTCTGCTTGTCTATATGTTGCTACCAACATGAAACTACAATGACTGGACCCTTCCTCTTCCAGTCCAAGTTCCATTGCAGCCCCGAGCTGGAACACTGTTTTCTCTCCAGAGATGCTGCGAGACCAGCTGAGTTTCTATTTTTGTTTGTTTCAAATCACTAGCATCTGCCGTTCTTTGTTTTATTTTAATGTTTAATTCACTACCAGATCACTTCCAGGTATGTCCACCTGAAAGAAAAAGTTCTGCTCCTCTCTCTGACAGGATTTCCATTTTAAACTTTCTCTTGTTCACCATCATTTATTTCAATTTCACTGCAAATATTTGAAGTTA